AATGCCTCTACAAAACAGAACAAACTTTCAACAAAAAAAAAAAAAAAGAGGACACGGTGGATCGAACCAGGGTCCTGCTTCGTACGAGGCAAGCACCTTACCACTGAGCTACTCTGCACCTTCAGAGAGCCGTGTTCGCAGTTCGTTTTGTACGAGACCCAATGGGGCACAACTGTCGGCACTTTTTTTCCCCGGGCTATTGTGCCGGTTGCCGGCAGAATATCCACTTCCTTAGATCAATGATTACCTCGGCGTAAATGTGTCTAGTTAGCTATGGCGGGATATAAGCGAACATTAATGACTGTAAAGTGCAGTCATCTTTGCTTCACAGCCCCTGGCAGCGATAACAAGTTTGGCAGAAACACATTACATAAATATATAATTCTTTTAATCTTTCTTCATTGAAACTGAAAGTTAGCCCACTCCTTCTTTTCCCCCAAATTACCTCTCAATTTTAGGTGGGCTACCTCTCGGGATATTACGGTCGGTTACTCCGCTGCGGAAGATGCTTTAACGAGAATCCATAGCGAAGGAGGAAAAGGACACTCTACTGTGATCCTCAAGTTTTGAAAGGGCTTTTGAATGACAGGGCAGATGGTGTCATAGAAGTAATAAGAATAATGTCCTCGCTCCTCTAGAGCGCTCACTTTCTTGTCTTGCCATGTCAGTGCTCAAAAGAATTAAATAGGACGTAAAACATTAACTAAAAAGTGTGTATTTGCTGAATGAAAGTTTTGTGAAATTTGTATATACTTCGCCAACACGCTCTCTTATTCGGTTTGAAGGGAGTATGAAAGATAGAAGAGACAGAGAAAGCATGCCATCGGGCGCTATAGACCCCTAATCAAAAAGAAAAAAAAATGTTTTTCCTGTTCATACTCTTTAAAATGTAGTCGCATAGCTTTATAACTTCATTCCCCGTCAAGAAAGGAGCAAAGGTAGAAAAAAACTGTAGGAAAGAGACGGATATCTACAAAGCGCCAGTTCATGGCGTTCGTGATTTATACTTATCCTCACCCTGTTTGCGTTTTTGTAATATTATACCTAGAAGGGGTTTGGATACGAATATTAATTGAATTGAAGGCGCGAAGATCCTGCGACAATTGTCAAATAAAGTTTCCGGCACTATTTTATATGTCTCTACGTATAAGACGCGTGAAAAGAAAGATAATTATCTCGAATGCACCACGAAAAACAATGCGCCAGCGTTTTAATCTCAAAAGCGTAAATATATCAGGGTTGGTATCTAAGGCAAACAGGCCTTAGGAATGCGAAAGAGGCCATGAATATTTAGGAACAACCAACGGGTGTATGTGGCCTCCAGCTACATTCGGCAGCACCCGTTCCTGCGATCAACTGCCTCACTGTTCTTATTCGGGGTACACAATGAATTTTTGTGGACGATTTCTCTATTGGTGGGCTTCCACGCGCAAGGTAAATTTTCTGGGCGTTCTTTTAACCTACTGCTGTAACTCGACAATAAGGTTCTTTAATGACCATCAAGAAAAACTATTTTGTAAATATTGTGAAGCTTTTTTCTATAATTTATTGTGAAGTAGTTTTAATTTGATTTATTTTTTCCAAAAACGACAAAGCCATTCGCATTGCTTTTGTCGTCATTTGGTAAACCTACACTAAAGAAAGGATGGCATTTTGACACTTCAGCCTCATGTTCCAGCGAGAAAAAACCAGCCATTGGATGGCCAAAAAAAAAGAAAATATTACTGTCGTGTAAGGCTCATTTTGTCATCTGCGTTAAATCTATTTTGAACTCTTTTCGTTCACGTTGGGCGCATGAAAAAGCATGGTGAAAGATCCCAAGTACGCACCTCATCTCGTCACACCACTCTCTCATTCCGCACAGTAATGTCCGTCTACTACGATCGTCGAGTGTCAATAGACGCACACGCGAACGCAGCTTCTGAAGCCGGGTGTACAGCCGCGCCAATTTCCGGGTGCCGTCTGCTACCAACGAGCCAGCGCTAGCTCGGTCTACAAGCTAAGCTTCCAACTGCGCGCGGTCACCGCTCGCTTCACACCGCATCACTCGGGGAAACTTCATCGTAATCTCAGGCCCGAGCGTGCGCCAAGCCTCGTCGGCGAACGCCAAGGGTTCGCCAGGCGACCGCTTTCGGCTCTCAGCATCGACCTCTACAGCGGCGAGTATGACTTCGGCTAGAGTTGCTGCGTTTTCTCTTTAGCAAGCGACATTCGGAAGATGGCGCCTGCTGTTGCTGGATTGATACGCTGCGTTCGCGCGTTCTTACAAGAGACTAAGAGTCTATATAACATAGAGCTTCCAACAGCTCGATCAAGATCAGGAGGTTCGTAGGCCGTTTTTGCAAAACGAGCTACGAAGGGGTGACAAAAGCATTGATCGTCTCCAAGCGTCTGAATGTGAACGAGACTGAACGTCGGACGTGTTATGTTTAACACGTCTGAACCTTTCCGCCCTCGTTCCTCCTCGCCACTTGACAATCTGGGAATGCGCAGTTGCGACCAGTTGGCGCAGGAGGCGTCCACCGTTACATAGCGGATGCTCCCCATGTCTTGAGTTGTACCCTCTCTTCAATAAGTTCAATGTAGGCGCTCTAGTTCCTACGTAAAAAATACGCTTGGTTGCCGTGGTCATTTTGACCACAGCAGACGAACGTTTTTGTGTGGAAGAAGGCGGTGGGGTGGCGAGATGAGGTAAGTGCATGGGCTCTTTCGCCGCGCTTTCCAATAGGCAGAACGTGAACAAAAATTGTTTGAAATGAGGACTTAACACAGATTGTTTATTTTCTCCAGCGCCTAGAATATTTTGACCAGTCTTACACGAAAAGTATCTTGTTAGATCGTAATTTGGACTAAGAATTTCGTACTGCAACATGGGCTGAACTACCGATATGCCGGAAGGATTTCCGACGTTGCATTTGGTGTTACGTTGGTCACCAGAATCTTAATTGATTTTTTCGTGTTTCCATCCACGAACAAGCTCTAGCGCACGAGGGTAAATGCATAATTCCGGTGTCATCTCAGGATAACCGAAGATTAGGCGCACCACACTAGGCTGGAATGAGGGGCACTTAGTGAGAAACATAGACTCGTAAAAACTGGACAAGTTAAGTCGATCGCGGTTGAGGGAATGGACCCTTTGCAAAAGTCTCAAAAGCCCGCGAGCGCCGCGCGGCGAATAATGAGAGTCATCGGTACGCCCCCCTCCCATCGTCTTTCCTCCCGCTACCACATGACATACGCGAACAGGCACCGGTTACCAGGGCAACAACGTTCGAGCAGCCGAGTCGGGCAAACGACGAGTGCAAAGAAATGGGGGAGAGGACATCGCGTTGGCCATCTTGCGAGTCTGCCCCTTTCTCATTCTTAAATAATAATAAATACATTTTATTTGCCATCCCTTTATATTCGTGATGGAAAGAGACCGAGAAAAAAGAGCTGCATAAATGAGGCTTGACCAGTTCTCGCCCCCCCCCCCCCCCCCTGCTAAAGTCAGCAGCAGTGGCAGCAAAGAACACAAAATGAACAAAAAGCATATCTGTCAAAACACAAGCAGAGCAGGCGGGTGCAGCAAACGCCTGCTCTGCTTTAGGTCGCTCTGCCACCGAACATTCGACAGAAACCAGAGCAGGCCCGAGACGGGGCGCCGCGACGACAGCGATCCTTGCGTCCGCTCGCCTTTCTCACCACCGTTCCTGAGACCAAGCGCCAAGATCGTGATATCCAAAAGCATAACATACCGGCTTCTGTGACGAAATTTGTTGCCACCTATAGGGAGGACTTCGGATGCAAGGTGGGAATAGGACGCTGAACTCACCAGTTAAAGACTCGTTCGCGTTGCAGGCGCCAAATCTCGCTACGGATTGTGAGACGACTTGAAATGGCCGAAACCTTCTCGAAAATTGCGTATCCGCTATAGTGGAGTTCAACGACTCGCTCTCAACAACACGTCCACCTCTCGTTTCCTTCTGACTATTGATCGGCTGCTCAAGGGCTCTCGGGTAGTCTTTATTGGAGGTTTTCAGACATGCGCGAATAGAATATTCCAACAGTTCTCAGAGAACCACCTTTTCTTGCTTTTTTTTATATTCTTAAATCCGACTCGTGATGATACAACATTTACTGAGCATCAAGAAACGTTGAAATTCGGCATAAACTATGATTTGCGCAAAGCAATATAGAAACCATTATAGCAAAGTTCTAATGCGTTTTACGCGCCAGAATTGGAATCAATTTTAGCTTTCATTCTTCCATTGAATCTTCTGTTTGGTGCGCTCAACTCGGTTGTGATGAAGTGTAGGAGTAAACCCTCCGTAAATATTTCTGGCGCTTCTGCGACTTCTGTTTTACGTTTACGATTTCTCTCGTATATTGCTGTTGATAATAACCGCGTTTCGTTTGTGTATTTGTTTGGGTTAAGGGGTATTTAAAACGAAGCAACCGAGGGAGGCCCCCTGCTTTCTTTTGAACGCATTCGATAACCATGACAAGTAGCTACCGGTTAAACTAACTTGTTTTTTCAAGCACTATAATTTTGTAGCTACCGTATCACTGTGTCGGCGTCTGTTTAATGCTAGGACAATACGCGAATTCGTGAACGTTAACTCGAAATATTAATAAAACGCCATTGACATACAAAAGAAAGGCGTATTTTCCTTCGAGTGGCTGATTAAGTTGAAGGCAATCCGTCGCATTGCCCTGTTCAGCCGAGTTCACCTATAATCCCCTCTCTCTCTCTCTGTCCCACCTGGTGGAAGTTCATGATTTTTAGTTGGAGTCAAACGGTTCGTGGGACAATATTTTATTTATTTGTTCAAAGGGGGTGATGGAGGAGCTCGCATTTTGTTACCTTTTAAAATTTAGTGGTATACATTTAGCAACAAAGGCCGTAAATATTGTCGTATAATACGCCTAAATATAGCAATGCCTGACGCGCATCGAAAGATATGATACGTTTGGTTCATTTTCAAGGCGCTCGTAGTTTTGGGAGGCCGGAGTCTCACCGGGCGTGAGCAAGATGACGGCGGTGACGATGAGGGCACAGACCCCCGCGATGACCAGCAGCGCAATGCCGATGCCACGCCAGTTGCGGCTGTCCGGCGCTGACGACACCAGCTCCTGAAAGAGCAAGACGAGAACATCAGCGGAAGAACTCTCAACACCGAGCTCGGCAGTTTTCACGCGAAATTCGCGCTGATACTGAGTTTAAATTTAAAAAGAAAAAGAATGAAAAAGATCGAGACCGCGCGTTTCCCAAACTGGCGCAACACACGCGCTGTGCTCAGTATCGTGAACACGTTGCTCGAAAAAAGTAATCGATTACAATTACAAGTACTCTCGGTTAAATTTATTCAATTAGATTGCTCGATTACTCGAGAGGAAAAGTGGTGGTTACTTGAAAAAAACATCCATCACTACTCAAGTTACTTCAGATTAAAATAAAAAAAAAAATTACAGATTTTTTTGTTTGTTTGAAAACAGGACTGTCCATGATTGTGTGAGAATTACCGAACCATAAATCACTTTCTTTCTTAGTCTATTAATTTTGGTAAGCCATGATCTCGTCCGAAATTTGGTTCGAGGATTCCTTAGTAGGGAAATTGTACATACAAAAGGGGTCCATTAGGAAGGAGGGGGAAATGGTGAAAGTTACGAGTAATTTTAGAGCTTCCAAAATGAATCAAATTATTCTCGGGATTACTTAAAAAATGTACTAAAATATTAGGAAATTACTTCAAAAAGTTATCGATTACGAGTGATTTGATTACTGGTAATGAGTGCCTTACAAGTCTGGCTTTGCTGGACTCGGGAAGGGGAGGGGGGGGGGGGGGGGCGGTGAAGTTGGTGGACTTTTATGAAGGCAGCCTTCGAGCTGCGCCGCATTAATGTTCATTTTACGGGAAACTAACGCGGTTCGGTTTGTGAGAGGAAACAAAAGCACGTAAAGGAAAGCTGAAGACGTTCTCGAAAACAACGAGTTAGATGTAAATTTTGACGTATTTTTGTTCCGTGAATTTGAACCTCACGAGCATTTGACCCGAACGTATCGATAGACGCGAGAGAAACTAAAAACCCAACTCCTGGGTCTGACGTCCCGCTGTCTTTCTTGTTTTCGGGACTTGAACGGCAGCGCAGGCCTCGAGCAATTGACTGACAGCCAACAGGGCGTGTGAGTGGCTGTCCGGACCCACGTGATGAGCGTGCTTTAGGCCTCCGTGAAGAGGAAAAACGGATATGGCGGAGAGAAACAACCCCCCACCCCCTAGGCAAAAAAAAAAAAAAAAAAAAATCGGATGCGGTTTATTGTACCTAATATGGCGGCGAAGTGTCGCTTTACGCGTGCTTGAAGTGACCTGTTTGGACAGGATCGAAACTTGAAATATCCCCGGAACACTTCGAAACGGGTGAAATATGACCAATGATATTCGTAAGTGATAATCACACGCTTGTACTTTCGGCAGATGGCCATATTTTTTGTTTCAACCCACGGATTTTGACGAATGCTTCAAAATCAGCCATCAAGGCGGCGCGTTGCGTCTCGAGATATTTGCCCCTTGACGTCACGCTCACAACGTTATAAACGACCGAGGGTAACGTAATTACGATCGTCGCAACTAGGTCAGCTTTATCGTCAAGGCGTTCCAATCCCGCCAAGTACCCGAGGTACGGCGTACTAGAACTGAGAGGTGCTAAGGTGTCCCCTGGCGCCTCCATCGCCGCGCCGTGACGCTGCTCCCGATGCGCCCATGACGTGATACATTCCAACGAAGCTCGGCCCCTTAAGTACCAGGTGATATCGTTTTATTCGTTTTAAAATTGCTTTTCTCGCGTTTACGGACGCTAGACTGCTGTTTGTAAGCTGCTGTCATAAAGGAGACTACGTCTACACAAAGAAATATTTCGGTTCCGTACCATTTTAAGGCTTGCGAAAAGCGCAGAAATACTTAGCTTTCTGTATACTACGTCATGATTCGCTCTTCGCACGGAACGCGACGGAAAAGATGGCCTCTCTATCGAAAAAAAAAAATAATAAGTTTCGCTAGTCTGCAAACTGGACTTCAGGTTTCCAGGAAGCAATCCAGTTATATTTCCTGTTCCATAATCCAGTTAGCGAAAAATTATACTGTTTTTTTTTTTTTTTGGTAGGGCTCAAACGCTATCTTGAAAGCGCTGTTTGTCTACTTGACGCATCAATCTGAAATATAATTGTGATATTCGTAATACTGAAGTCAAAATAAAAGAGATTTACGTGTTTTTTTCTAGAATAAAACGAAAAAAAAAAACGCTTCAGTTTTCATTTTAATCCCCTTCATTTGGCCTTCAGGATCAGGAATACAAAAGATAAATTTAATATTGACGGTCCAAGTAGCCGCAACGGCACTTTCAAAATAGCGCCGAAGCCTCTTCTTCTCGACGCGTTCGGTTGGAGGAGAAAATTGTGACGTAATATACAGAAATCTCAATATTTTCGCGGTTTCCGCAAGCCTTACCCGAACAATCGAAAACGCCGCACGCGTTCCCTCACAAGCAGCAAGCGCGAGGCAGTTGAAACCTCTGGGTATGACGGTTTTTCTCGTGCCTATTGATCGGTTCGGGTCAAATGCTCGGTGATATTCAAATTTACAAGACAAAAACTCTCTAAAATTCCCTTCTAACTTGTTTTTGTTCTTTAATGAGGTATTCAGACGGAGGAGAAATCCGTTGAGAGATGTGGGTGACGTCGACAGCAGACACGAGTCCCTCGTCAGCTTCGTCCTTCACATCGACGAGATACAAGGTGGAGAGATGTCAGCGCTTGCAGATCAATTTGGCGGTTTCTGTTCTTTACACCACAACAGACGAATTTCGCGGTCTCTATATTTGACACAAAAGCGTTTAATGACAAACTAATGTTAAAAACAAACTGATCCGCCGCCGAACGGGGATTGTTTGTACCGCCCCAGCCTCCCTCCCGCTTTCCGCCGCGAAGCCGACGTCACAGCACCGCATCGCGAAAGCCTGATGTTTTTGTTGCGTGAACCACACGCCGGGGAGAAATCGCGGGATTTCTCCCTCGCATGAATACAGCTTTCGCGAAGTGTGATCACCCGCCTCCGGCATTTACCTGAACCATCGTGCTTGGAAGACGTTTTATGGCTCTTAATTTTGAACTAGTAAAGGATCCGATAGTTACAACATGTTTAAGGAGTGGAAGATTGCGCACGATATTACCCGTCCTCTATTACATGTATTTATAACGCAAGTAATCAGACAGGAATTCATAAGTCTACTATTATCTGCGCATCATTCTGTCTAGCACAATGCTTTGTAGGAGACTTCATGCGGACATTATTCACACTTTAATGTGATTTTCGAATTTGGGAGAATTAAACAACGCCGCGAGATGGTTAATGTGCTGAGATTTATTGCGTTGGGTGTTCGCCAATGTTCAGGAACTGAGAGATGCACCAACAAAGAGTGTCGAGTGGAAAGCGATTTCTTTCAACAAACTTGAGAAGCATAGGGAATGATGAGGATCTATGAGGGTTTCTATTAGATAAAATCAAGTGACAAATCAGCCTGAAAAGCGCGTCTCCTATCGCTTGTTCACGAAGTCTACGAATTGTGGGACACTGAGAACTCGAGACGGAGCCTCAAAGGCCCAGTTATTTTCAGAAAACACGTCAGTTATATATTTGCCTGCTTCTGTCACAACAGACGGTGATGGGTGGTTTGCGTAATTGGCTGGAAGTGTACTTTTCTTCATATAGTCATACCCAATTACGCTTAACAGCTTCACACTAGAAAATAAGTTTACGTCTTTTCTGAATTCAGTGTTCGTCGGTGGTCACGAAGAGAATGATACATTACAAAGATTGAGCATAAGATATATGTACTAAAATACATGACGTGTCAAACTAGAATTCTGTAGAAGTAGGACTATTGATTATTGTCGTAGTTTTTACATCACCTGTGTTTGAGGGAACATTTCAGAAAGTGGGCTACGCTCAAGCACCAACGAGAAATGGAGCATGAATAATGCATCCTTTTCTACTTAATAAAAGTCACCAACATTTGCCCTCGCTATGCGGGCACACTTAACTGCAGTTACGCTAAGCTACAGTTGCCATAAAATACTTGGGGCCACCATTTTGCGGCTATGCAGTCGGAGCTATGGGCACACCTGCGTTTGAGCATTTCGAGCATCCATGAAAGCAGTACACGTGCATTCTTCACTTCTTCTGATGTAGATATTGGAGCGTATAGTGCGGTAATTCTGGTGACGCGTAACAGCAGTTAAAGGTGAGGTAACTGCGGTTAAGGGTGCCGGTGTAACACCAGTATAACAAAGCGCCTCTTGTTCGCACTGTAGTCTTCTATTTCATTTTTTTAGCGAGGCATTCTGGCAAGTTGCCATGGCACGAGCAAAGAACGCCCGGCGAGCCCAACTATATTCGTCCAGAGACGGAACCACATTCTTGATCAAATTGAAACAGCGGGGCGGTTTCACAGGGAACTGAATTAGTCGACTCTTGAAGCGCTGGGCTAAGGCCTCGGTACAGAATAAGCGCGACCTACGTTCTGCGAATAAGCGGGGCTAAAGCATTATAACCACGTTAACAGTAATTCTCGCCCGGCATTTCGGAACTGCATTGTGCCTGACGCCAACTGTCCCCACTAGGCGGACTTTTGATCAATCCCCTACAGCGCCTGTCAATAGAGAAGGAGAAGCGATGGCTGACCCCGGTTTATTGTTAAGCCGCCAGCGGAATCGAAGAATTTGATAACTTCGGCTGGTCACCAATTGAAGACACCGATGATTTGTTCAGTATATTTACAGGAAGCCATATACCGAGATAATATATATATACATATATTTCGGAGCTTGTCGCTGGCATCATTCTTCTCCTCGAGTTCCTCGCTGTGCCATTCTTGTCATTTTTTCTCGCGCACAGTATGCTCGTCCGCTACACGTTACCTTAGAGCAATCAGGAAGGAATCGCGAAAGGCACCTATCTTTAGGATTGTCTACGTGCAGACGTTCGGAGTCTGAGGAAGTAGAACAGGCGCATAGCCATTGTGTCGTCAGTGGCACGTAATGGGTGCGTCCTGCTTGGCAATTCTTTCTATATCTTTTT